GTCCTGGCCCCACTGGTGGACCTCCTGATGGCACTGGTATTTCTGGCCACTGTGTGATACAGAGTGTTGGACTGGATGGGCCTTTGGCCTGATCCAACATTGGCATCTCTTATGTTCTTATGTTCATCCTGTTTAGAAACAGAAACACAGTGGTTCACCGTGAATCTAATCATTTTTTATTATTTCCATGTTTTAAAAAAGAATCTCAAACTTCTGTTCCGAAGCAGTATGGGTTTGACCAAAAGACAACCTTGAGAGCTAGAATACCAAGTACGTACAGAATGTCCAATTTTTTTTTGTGTGTGTGTGTGTTTGTATGCCTGCATAGAAGGAAAATGTGCCTGCTTTTTACTTAGTTATTATTTGGCACTTCATATTTCTGTCTTAAACAGCTCTCATTCACTCTTGTGGTAAATGGTAGAACTGTAGTAGAATGGCGGTGGCTTTTTAGTTTTGCATTGCAAAAGTGCAAGGTGGTGGTGGTTGGAGAATGGAAGATGAGTGAGTGTGGAATTCAAGAGGTGGAGGCTGGCAATTAAATTGGAGTCCGTTTGATCTGGGAAGGAGGGCTACAGGGGTTAGCAAGGGTGTGTTTGTTTCCTTAATTTGATGTTGTTTCTCTTAAATTTGGGCTTAGAAGCTCCTGAGAGTGCAGTCTGATCACTGAAACTAGGGGTACAAGTCCTGTTGAACCCAGGGGGATTTGCTTAGGATTGTGCTGGTAACATATTGCATGAATGGTTTACATTATGGGTATAAAAAAATTGTAGTAGTTGTGTTGTGACAGAAGAGTGCCTGGAATTCATTGCCACCAACTTCACAATATTTTTGTGGCTGTTCTTTGGAGTTTGCCAGCTACCAGGGTTAAAATCTGATTAGAGTGGCTGGCAGTATCCTTATCAGCAGCTGGATATCAGTACTATTATTGGATTAAGTCTGTTTTGGGTTGTCCTTGAGTCAAAGTGCAGTTTCACCGGAATAACTTGCTTTCAGGCATGCCTTCAGCACTCCGTGCAATGTGTACCTCAAACCTAAACCTTGCACAGGGCAGTATTCAGTTAGATTAAGGAATTGGAATTAGATTTATGTGAAGAATACGCATCAGGTATGGATTAATGCAAAGATGAGATGAGTGTCAATGTTGTAACTCCAGTTATCTTTTGGAAGAGATTGCTCTTTTGTAAGCTACCCAGAAGTATACCTAGGGGGTTCCTTTTCTGTGTTATGTATTTATAATCCCTTGGGTCTGTTAAACACAAAATTAGCTTGCTATGTTCTCTTCCAAACTTTTATTTTTATTACATATTTCTTCAAGTCTAAAACCCCCTGCAGGTTGAACATCTACTTGGTCTTGCGTTTTCTCAGTTTGGAATTCAGAACCTTCCCATACAGTAACTTTGCCTGAGTCCAAGGCCTAGTTTGAATTTCTGGTATGCGTCCTGCCATTATGCTGGGCAAAGCTTGAAGTCTTCTTTCCAGTTTGTGGCTCTTCACTGGCTCCCTAGGCTGGAGAAAGGTTTTGAACATTGCCAAGTGGAGTCGTGGGATACATGTTGTTTTTGGAGTTTACTACCATATTTCTGTGTACAAGGTCTGGCTGTCCCATTTTAAGAGTATATCCTGTTTCCAAAGCATGCATGATTGAAAAGGAGCCGATCGCCTTTTGAAAGCATGCAAGTTTGCAGATTCCAGAGCTTTTCTAGGTAACTTGTTAGATTTCTGTATTCCAAATCTAAATTGGAATAGCAAATTGAATCCTGTTAGCATCACGTTAGAGAGATCAAGACCCCAGAAGTACTTGTACTATAATTTAGTCTTTCCCCTTACTTTATATCAGATGAAGCGGAGCCTCAAATTCAAGCCAGCATATTGAAGAAGCATTCGGAAGCTGTTAATAAAAGTAAGAGTTTAATCCTTTTACTTGCTCTGTGCGTGTGTGCCAGTCTGCCAGAAATAATTCAGATTATCTGCTGATGTGTATTTTACAAGTTTGAGGTTGATCATAACTGTTCAGGCTTGTCTACATAACTGTGGTACAGTTGGAATTTTTTTTTGAAATTTTTATTGCTTTATTTCTAAACACTACAAAAGGGAAAGGAAATAATGGGTGCTAACACTAACCAATAACATATAAAGATAAAGCAAGGATCATCATACCTACAAAATTCTTGATAGTCATTCCTACTTTAGCAATTGCCACATTTCAAAATTAATAAAGCTAATATTCTTGATAGTGATTCCTACTTTAGCGATATAAAAAGAAAAAAGATTAAAGGAGTAATACTGATTGCCACATTTCAAAATTAATAAAGCTAAATCAAGCCCATTTAGCCAAATTGGGTACATCATAGTTTCAAATACAAAGTAACCTTTCAGAATTTCATTACATTACATTTTTGACAACAACAAAAAAAGAATTTCATTACATTACGTTAATTATCTCCTGTGCTTATTCTTATCATATTTCATTTGGACTTCAAGAGTTTTAGGAGTTGCTGCTCCATTTTCGGAATCACAACCTTCAGAGGAATTGTCAAGGATAGTTATACTGTCTTCAGACTCATAATCATGGCAAAAATTCTAGACTAGGGCTAGGGAGACACTGATTCAGATCTCTGCTCAGCCATGAACCTCTCTGGGTGGCCTTGGGCTATTCACACACACTTTTTCTCTCTCTCCGCCTAAACTACTACTACACAATTTTTCTGAAGATAAAAGGAGGCAAGGAGAACTACGTCTGCCATCCCAAGTTGTTTGTGAGAAGACAAAATAAAACGCTCTGGATAGATTTTGCTAGGAGTTTTTCAGGACAGTGCAGCCTGGCACCAAGATACAGGGACAGCAGAACGTAACAAGACTGCAGGAGGAAAAGGAAAGCAGAAATTCTACTCTTCAGACAACAGCATATCTAATATAGGCAGGAAATCTCTGGATGTCTTTGAAAAAGAAAGGATGGGTGTTAAAGAGCTGAGAAGTAGATCTCCTTGTTCCTCATAACACGAGGAGATGACCACCTCTGCATTTTCTCATTCTGTGGATTAGAACTTTTTGGAGCTAGCATAGGATTCTGAGAAAAGGGAAGTAGAGACTTGCAGAAAGCGCAGCCCTGGATTGATAAAAAACAATATTTTTACTAGTGGGGTGTTACACCTGAAAAAGGCCAGATCAGAAGGGCACTGATGAAGGAAAAAACTGAAAATCATGAAAGGGCCTTTTTGATGTTCTCCTAATGGGATTCTTCTTCTTCTTCTTCTTAAAAGCTGTTAATAGAAGGAAACTGCTGGATAGATGGCATAACTCTTAATATTTATTGAAATTACTCCTTCCTCCATCCAACAACTGTAATCAGTTATTACTGTGTCTGGAAGGATTTGACATTAAGTGGTTTTCAACAAATTTACAGTTGAAACGTTGTCAAACTGGCTTTGAATCCAGCCACTTAAATGTGATGTGTGTGTCTTCCATTCCACTGGGCTTTCAGAATTGCAGTATTTTAGTTATGAAGGCTTATTGTATAACCTGTAAATTGTTCCAAGTTAAAACTTTACTAACGAACTAGAATAACTATCCCCTGCATGTTTCTGTGTTCCTCCAAGGTAGTCTGATTCTTTATGACTGAAGAAGTCCTGGTGTGCTTGAAATAGAAGTCCTGGTGCACTACTACGGGTGAAATAGAAGTAGTCCGGGTGTGCTACTACTAATCTGTATCACTTCTCCCTTCCTTCCCACCCCCTTTCTGTAGGTTCTAGTGTACAGTCCAGGGGACACTCTGTTTTCTGGATTCTGGTGTGTGTGGGAGCTTGCATTGCTGCTGGTGGATGGTATATTTTTTATCCACCACCCCCTACTCCAGAAACTGACCAAGCCCTGCTGGCATTTCAGACCCAGATGAAAAAGCTCATGAGCAGCTACCCGAGTCAGGACAGCAGACTGTGGAAGAGAATCCAGACCACCTTTGAGAAGCGTCTCAACGCCTCGCGACCTCATTCGGAGCCTGTTATCCTACTGCTCACCGCTGCAAAAGAAGCCGAAGATGCGCTGAAGTGTTTAAGCAACCAGATTGCGGATGCCTTCTCCTCTTCTCAGCGCACTGCGACCATCAGAATCGATGGGGCCGACAAAGCCACACAGGACAGTGATGCTGTAAAACTTGCTGTGGATCGAGAGCTGAGCGCCGGGTTCACAGGAGGCAAGAAGGCGGCCGTGGTGCATCGGTTTGAGTCACTGCCGGCGGATTCCACCCTAATATTTTACAAGTACTGTGACCATGAAAATGCAGCCTTTAAGGATGTAGCTCTACTCTTAACTGTTCTGCTGGAGGAGGAGTCACTAGGAAGGGGTCTCACCCCAGTGGAAGTTGAGGAGAAAGTGAAAGATTTCCTCTGGGCTAAGTTTACAAATTCACACATGACAGGTTCCTATAACCGCATGGACACAGACAAACTGAGTGGGCTGTGGAGTCGCATATCCCACCAGGTCTTGCCTGTGTGGCCTGAAAACACCCTCCCTCGGGAGAACTGCTTGCAGGTGAACTAAGAAAAGAAGCAAGGAGGAAGCAATACAGAGAGGCGTCTGTTAGTGCCTGCGTAGGAAGAGTGTTTTCAGCTCTTGCTTCTGAACCGTTGTAAGGGCCAGTTTCAAGTCAATTTAGGGTTTATTCCTTTGAAAAGGAGGAGTTGGACATTTTGTGCAAAGAACTTTGTAGGTCATGGTGTGTGTCCTACCACTCTGCTCAACAACATTTGAAGCCTTCTGTCCAGCTTAAGTTTGGAGAGCCGTGGATGTCAGAGGAAGGCGCCTGTGGGAGTCATCCCATTTTGTTGAGCTGGGTGATAGGATATGTGCCTGTGAGTCTGGTAAGCTGTCGTTCAAAATCTCATAGTCTTTGCAGTGGGGAAAAAAGATTTCTTGATAACTTGGAGATCTCCAGCTGTGTGTAAGGTTACCTTGATATGATTAGATCGCTTGACTTGAAAGATCTTTTGGAGAATAATGTAACTAGGAACAGCAAGCTAGTGAAGGCTAATAGAGCCCCGTACTCATTTTCTATCTCCTTTCCCTGCTTGCAACAGACTAGAAGAAATTGCAAAGACAAAGCTTCATGCTTCTAACACTTGTCATTCCATCCCCCCGCCTTCCCCCGGTCCATAAAATTGACTAAGCTTTTTGTAACTGCAGATTTTCATAATAGTTTCTGTGCTGACCCGATCCGGTTAGTTTATTTGGAATTATGAAAGTGAATTAAACCAACCAATATAATAATTTGAAGGAGCATTGCAGTTTGTTCAGTATCTCCATAGGTGGTAGAGACAGACGGACTTTTCTCGATTTCTGCTTGTAGAGACATATTTTGTGGCCTGGGACTGGGTACTGAATTCTGGTGCTTCTCAGCTAAAAAGGACTAGAAGTAGGTGTGCTTCAGTCTGATGGGCCGTTGGAAGTCTACATAACTGGTCAGTATGGGAGACACTGAGTAAAGAGAATGCAGCTTTTTCTGAGGGCATGTTTTGCGCTTTCTGCGTCCACTATTTAAAAGTGTAAAGTTAATGCCCAGATGTGCAGTAGTTTTATTAAGGCCTGGACTAGAAAAGTGTCAGCTTTCTTGATTCCTTTCTCAAGATTTGTTCTATAAAGGCTTATAAAAGTCTTATACAAGAAGCTCTTTGAGCCTCTTTTGTTGGGGGAGTGTTCCCTGTACCAGAGCAAAACACGAGTGGAAGGGATTCCCCTGGTCTTAACCCTTTGCATTGAGGTTAGTTATTGTAGACACCAAGCCGCCAAACTACATACTCTTAATGTTCTTTCCCCCCACGAACATGAAGCTTTCTGTATCAATACTACTCTGATTTAAAAGACATGCGGGTGGTGAACAGATTTTGAGAGCCTTGTTTAAAAGTAGCCTGCAGCTTGCCACAGGCTGTATCATCTTTCAATCTTGTGGGAATGCACATACTTTAATGTGGATTATAATATGGAAACCTCATAACTTTGCAGTTCCTGGCAGTTCAGTCTTCGGTCATGTCATTCAGCATTTGAGTCTACTGCATTTCCAGGAGCTTTTAAAAGCTGCTCGTTGCATTTCGGAAGTGTGTTGTCAGAGCAGTTGCCCTTCTTTTTGAAGACCCGCTAGCATGTTATCCTTTATCCCCGAATTTGTTTGCTATAAATGTGACTTGATAGTAGAACTCAACTTGTCTCATAAGCACTGGAAAGAAGTCTTGATTACGTTCAGAAGAATTTTTCTTTAAGGTTGTTTGCATGTAGTCCATCTGCACATTCCTTACCGATAGCCAATAAAACTGCTTCATTTGATTACCTTTAAACAGGCCTTCACACTTCGAAGAACTGAGTTCTGGGCCTTACCACTTAGACCATGAAGACTACTTTATTAGGGTGTGGAAGTGTGGTAGCAGCCATGACACGGGAATATGAATTGTTTTATGTATACAAGAAGACTTTAAACCTGTGTCATAGTCATGCCAGACGAATGCTTTTTAATAATGTTGATGTATCATCTGAAAATTATCAAGGAGCAAACAACTGAATTGAGAAAGCTATTTTAATAATCATTAAATAAATGCTGTAATTTTCAAGTAAGGTTGCTTGCTATATAATTTTTCACGTTACAATCCTTCTCCCTACTTTTTAAAAGAAAAGTCTAAGGCAGCTAACAAATACAATTACCTCTATAGCAAAGCTATGATAGTGCCTAGTTCTTAAAGGCAACTGGTCTTGACAAGCAAGGGGATTTGCTGTGTGTCTTTTCAGTATTATAGTTCCCTGGGGTGTTTTGGGAACAACAAAATGTAATTACATATTATTGATAGGAACCTGAAGACGGTGGTAAGCAGAAAAAAAAATCGGTAATTGTGAAGAGAAGAAGAGGAGATTGGATTAATACCCCGCCCTTCACTACCCAAAGGTGTCTCAGAGCAGCTTACAAATTCCTTTCCCTTCCCCTCCCCACAACAGACACCCTGTGAGGTAGGTGGGGCTGAGAGACCTCTTGACAGAAACTGCTCTTTTTCAAGAACATCCAGCCAGGTGCAAGTGGAGAAGTGGGGAATCAAACTTGGTTCTCCCAGGTTAGAGTCCGCGCACTTAACCACTACACCAAACTGGCTTGTGTAAAGTGTTTAAAGCCTGGTTATAAAAGGGCCAGGGTCCCAAATGCGGCAGATGTTGTGGGGTAATTGGGTCCATAAATTAGGGGGGACTTCCTTGATAGAGGGTGAAACTATCAGACACAATTAGTGTGGGGCAGTGGGGAAGAGGTCCTTCAGGTATTCTAGGCTTGTGACATAGGGTTGAAACGGTAAGTGCTGGCACCTTAATTTTGGCCCTCAAACTAATAACCGTTGATGTAATGCTCTCTGCAGTTAATGCCAGAAATTTAATCTAGATGCTGCTTTTTGAAGTAGTTGCAGTTGTCAAGGAATTCTTCAAGGCAACTCTAAAAGCATACATGCGCGCGCACACACACACACACACACACACACACTAGGAATAAGGCCCGATGTGGAAATAAATACAACGAACTCTAGAAAGAGGCTCTCAGAGTGTGCCCTGGCCTTGGGCACTGTGTCAATTTGCTGTGGCAACCTCGGCAGGGTATAATGACACAGTATCCACCATTTTCTCCAGAGGAACTGATCTCTGCTACCTGAAGAGCAGTTGTAATTCTAAGTGATCTCCAGCCCCCCACCTGGAGATTGGCAACAATGGTTCCCCAGGAGGGAATGGCTGGTTTGGAGGGTGAAGTCTATGGCATTGTACCCGTCTGAGGTCCCACCCCTCTTCAAACCTCACCCTCTCCAGGCAACACCCCTCAAATCTCCAGGAATTTCCCAACCTGGAGTTGGCAACTCTGTCTCCTTCCCAACCAAGCATCAACCTGCCATTATCTGCCCCTCACTCTTCAGCT